GATTTCACTTTCTTTCTTTTTATCTCAAGAACCAAACAGAGCACCTACCGTTTACCATCTTTGTGAATTTCTGCTTCATCCATTTTCCACCCGTTGGATAATACAACCTACCACATGACAGCATATATATATGTCACAATTGGTTTCCATTTTTGATGGATATAACAATAGAATAGTGTTGAACACAGACAGATTGACTTTGTTAGGTTTGGTTCTGTCCTTTGCAGACAACCATCTAGGAGGGGCAACAATGAACTACAACAAGGTAGAACTAGAGCTAAAAAGGAAAATTTTCTCTTTGAGGTGCAATTATCACTTAGCAATTTGGACAGCAGCACGATCACCATTCCTTGGGAAACTACCGAAAAGTATTTCCTTGTTGCTGATACAGGAACTCACCAGGAGATCAATCTACAATTTTCCGATAAATATACCAATCAGTGGCGTATGGCACTCTCATTCTCTCCACAGCCTGGTGCCGACTTGGTTATAGGTGGATGGTTAGAGTATTTTGGTGCACACAATTTGAAAGCTATGGATTTACTTCGCTTTTACAAACCTCTCCCCCAGCCTTTTCATATCCAGAAGTACCTTCTTGGATATCTGGCATTCCTCTTTAAGAAGAATTTAACTACTACTGATGTTTCGCAGAAGCTCGTTATTCCTATAGGAGCTGCAGAAAACCATTTCCCTCGTCTAATTACCAATAAACCAAGTTCAGCTATGCTACAAATTTCTGATGCTCAAAACAAGAAGTGGGAGATGAAATTCCATGTGGCTCCAGTGGCAAACCAGAGTACACAAAATTATGGGTACAAGATGGATTGGACTGAGTTTGTTACTAAGCACAAATTGGAAGCATATGATGTGATTTTCTTTTACAAACCTGTCCTGCCTTCAGAAGACAATCACTATGCTATTCGATTTAAAAGGCCCAGCAAGAAGGATGATAGAAAGAAAGGCTCACCATCATATTCAAGAAAGAATCAACCAAGAAAAATGTCTGAAAGCAGCGACGAAGAAGGGAAATCGATGAAGAACTCAGATAACAAAGAAGAAGAAAAATATGATGCCGAAGAAGAATATGATGATGAAGCAGAAAGGAAGGCAGACGATGTTAATCCACCATCAACAAAGCAAAAACATGTGGATTTAGAAAGCTGTGATAAGAGGAGCAGAAATGTCACACCAAAATCAAAAGGGATGTAAGTACTTGTCCTTCACCAAGAAACCTGTTCTTTCATGAATGTGTTGAATCTTCAATTTTTGTCTATCTTTCTATCTATAAATGTATTCATTTACACATTTATACATTTATCTATCCTTTTTATGTCTATATATATATGTATTTACTTCTACTCTGGGCTGCATTCATGGAAGAATAACAGAACTCATATATATGTTTATAGAGATCCATACATGCATGAATTCATTCATGGGCCTTTAGGTTGCAGGCAAGAAAAACTGAAAAATGTTGAAAAATTTATATGACAACTTAATTTCACTTTCTTTCTTCTTATATCAAGAACCAAACAGAGCACCTAGGGTTGCCATCTTTGTGGATTCCTGTTTCATAATTTTTGCATCCGTTTGCCAATCTTCCAAGTTCAATCAGTGTCGTAGATGTTTGCATATTGATTCATTGATTCCTAACATAGCCCCAACACAGAAGCTTAATTGTAACAAGAGTGTTTTGGGTCTTCTTTCAAGAACTTCATGATTATTTTATTTCATTCACAGATATATGTATATATACTTGTATATGTTTATAGAGACATACATGTATGATTCATAGGTCTTTAGTTTGCAAGAAAGAAAAACTGAAATTGGTTAGATTTAGATGAAAAGATTATAGAACAACTTAATTTTACTTTCTTTCTAATCTCAAAAACCAAACAGAGCACCTAGGGTTGCCATCTTTGTGACTTTCTGTTTCATCATTTTTCTACCCATTTGGATAATACAACCTACCACATGGCACAATATATATATGTCAAATTTGAAAGATCAATTGGTTTCCAATCTTTGTTGATAACAATAGCAGTTGATGACAATAGCATAGTGTTGAATACCGTAACCTGTTCGATGTATTTCCCCTAAGACGAATATTGTCAACTACCAAATGCCATGATCAGATAGACTTATTAAGTTTGGTTCTGTCCTTTGCAGAAAATCATCTATGAGGGTCGACAACAAGGAGGACGATTTTGTCTTTGAGGTGCAATTATCACTTACCGATTTTCAAAGCCAAAAACTCACCATTCCTTGGGAAACAGTAGAAAAGTATTTCCTTAATGCTGATACAAGAACTCAGCTGGTGATCAGTGTACTATTAACCGATAAATACAACAATCAGAAGCATGAAAGATGCTCATTCTCTCCACAGCCGGGTGGTGACTTCATTATCACTGAATGGTCAAGGCAATTTAGTGCACACAAAGCTATGGATTTGATTCGCTTTTACAGACCTCTCCCCCAGCCTTTTCATAACCAGCATTACCTCGTCGGATATCTAAAATTCCTCTTTGAAAAGACTTTAACTACTACTGATGTTTCGCAGAATCTCGTTATTCCTATAAAAGCTGCAGAAAACCATTTCCCTCGTCTAATTACCAGTAAACCAAGTCATGCTATGCTACAAATTTTTGATGCTCAAAACAAGAAGTGGGAGATGAAATTCCATGTGGCTCCAGTGGCAAACCAGAATGCACAAAAATATGGGTACAAGCTGGACTGGACTGAGTTTGTTACTAAGCACAAATTGGAAGCAGGCAATGTGATTTTCTTTTACAAACCTGTCCTGCCTTCAGAAGACAATCACTATGCTATTCGATTTAAAAGGCCCAGCAAGAAGGATGATAGCAAGAAGGGAGGAAACAAGGACATACATCCAGAGAATTGAATTCATACTGATATCAAGGACAACATTGAAAGTTGCAGTACCGGTGATATGATGATTTAGAGCAAGCCTGTGAAGTCAGATTAGTGATCTGTTGTGGATAATAGTCAGATTAATACTTGGATACTAAGCTCCTTTTTTTTTTTCCTGAAAATCATTATATGAGCTTCTCTATACACACTGCAGCATTGCAATTGTGATTTTTTTTTCATACACACATCCATCAATAGACAGTAATAAGCTTAGTTATATTTCCAAAATGGAATCTTAGTTAGCAAAAAATAGCCTTGACTGCTCAAGTCAATGTGAGATGTGTGTTTCAAAAAACCTTAAGCGGTCATCTATTCATATTAGTAATTAGCATTTTTTATAAAATATTTTTATCATTGAATTGCTTATTATTATTAATATTTTAGTTTGGTACTACCCTCTTCTGATTGATTGGTAAAAGAACTCATTGAGAGGGGTGTTATTTAAAATAGCATTGGCAAACCAGAAAATTATGAGAAAGTGGGACAGTTAGGAGAGAAAATTTTGAAAACAATGTCAGAGTGCATGGATCAAACTCACCCAACAGATCTTGTGGTGTTCAGTCTAGGACTAAACAACACCTCAGGCTTTTTGGACAACCCCATTTATGTGAATTCATGACATAGGAAAAACCAACACTATCATAATTATAATATCACTATTTTCTAATTCCAACACTCCCCCTCAAGCTGGTGTGAAGATATTCAATAAACGCAGCTTGCCGATAGACGACTGGAGTAATGTTGGGCCTACAGACTTTGTGAACATATCTGCTAACTGCTGAGAAGAAGAGACAAAGGATGGTCTCACAATACCAATCCGAACCTTCTCTTGAATGAAATGTATATCAACCTCTATATGCTTAGTGCGCTCATGTAGGACAAAATCAGAAGACAACATAATAGCAAACTTATTGTCACAAAACAAAGAAGCAGGAGCAGTCTCCTTAAATCCTAACTCTGCCAACATGGAATGCAACCATAGAATCTCACAAGTGCGTTATGCCATAGCCCTATACTCAGCTTCTGCAAAAGACCTAGAAACAAGTGCTTGGTTCTTACTTTTCCATGATATAAGATTATCACCATAGAAAGTACAAAAGCCAAAAGTAGAATGCCTATCCGTTCTAGATCCTACATAGTCAGCATCAGTAAAATAGGAGAGTCAATCCCAAGCTAGGAGAAGTCTTCAAATATCTCAAAATGTAATGAACCACATCAACATGTTCTGTACGAGTTGCATGCATGAATTAGCTAGCCACACTAACCGCAAATGTCAAGTCAAGTCTAGTATTGGTCAGAAAGATGAAACGCCTACCAAGATACTTATACATACTTGGGTCCTCTAGTAATTCGCTAGACTCTGATGTGAGCTTGACATTGCGATCCATAGGACACTATAACAAAATGCACCTTTGGCGACCAAAATTGGTGACTAAAAAAAATTTAGTCACCAAAAGTTATGGAAATGGCGACCAACATTTTTTTTAGTCACCAAAAAGTAAAATATTTAGCTACTAATTTTTTTTAGTCGGGGTATATTCATTATTGGCGACTAAAAAAAAAATTTAGTCACTAAAAATGCCAGAATTGGTGACAAAAAAAAACTTAGTTGCTGTATATTGACTTTTGGCTACTAAAATATTTAGTCGCCGAATGGAAAATAAAAAAAAAAAAAATTTCTCTTTGGCAAAAACTTACTTTCGGCGACAAAAAAAAATTTAATCGCCGTATATTGATTTTTTGCTACTAAAATATTTAGTCGTCGAATGGAAAATAAAAAAATTATTTTTTCTCTTTGGTGACTAAAGTTTTAGTCGCCAAAAACTTACTTTCAGCGACAAAATTATTTTAGTCGCCTTTAGTTCACTTTTTCCGACTAAAATGTTTAGTCGCCAATTGTAATTAAAATTTTCAAAGAGAAAAATTGTCATTGATTATTTTTGGCGACTAAAATTTTTTTTATCAGCATTAGTTCATGTTTTGGCTACTAAAATAATTTTAGTCATCATTTGTTAATATTTCCCGACTAAAATTTCGTTGCCAAATTTGTATACAAAATTTAGTGGGAAATATTTCATATTGGCGCCTAAATTTTTGCCCAAATATGTTAGTCTTCACATGGTTCTATTCTAGCTCTCTCTTGCTCTCTCTCTCTCTCTCTCTCTCTCTCACAGAGAATCGATCACCACCGCCCCTCATCTCGCCGTTGTAGACGACCACAGTTTCCGTCAATCTTCCACTGTCGAACATCACCACCACAGCTCACGATTGCCTCGCCTCCCATCGACATTCAGGTTATTCTTTGTTCTTCTCTCTTTCTCTCTCCCCCTTCCTCTATTTCCCTATTTCACTCTAACTCTAGGGTTTTTTTTTGATGCTGTAGGATTTTGATTTCTATGTTTCGAGTAAATGGGTTTTGATTTTTGTTCTAGATTTAGGGTTTTTTGAATTGATTATCGAGTAAATGGGTCTCTTTGCTTCAAATCTATTGATCTTTTGCCTTTTTTTATATTTATTTTTGGGGGCTGATTTGTACAATCTGATAAACCACTTGAGCTTGTTTGGGGAAAATTTCTAAATGAGGCTATCTTGGTTGTTTCTTCTACGCATGATGCTTGACTTCTACCTAAAGCTTTGGTGATTACATTAATGGAGGGATAGTTGAAAAGGTAGAAGATATATTTCTTTTTGTGTTTGCGTGTAACACATGCATTTATAAATAGAGTTTTTTGTCCCCCATCTTATAGGAAAATAAATAAATAAATTGGATTTAGCAAAAGGCACTAACAAAACAAAAGGCAACAATTGAAACCTAATCAACTTTAGCTGATCTATCCAGAGATGGATCAGCTTTCATAATATATCTATGACAAAATATTGTTGATTTTCAAGAAGTTATCACTCTGTCCTATCACATTACTAACTATGACAAATTTAGTCCCTGCCTTGCATTGCAGGCTTTCCTCCTTCATCATCATTTCTTTACTAGCTTTATTTGACTTCTAACTTTTTTATACATGGGTTATTATACAAGACACCTTAGATATATGCATGAGTAACACTATCACATGAAGCATTCTAAGTGGTGAAACTAATGTAAACTTCATTTTTTGTAATGAAGAGGGGGAAGACTTAAACCATGTGTTGCTCTTTTGTCCTTTTATCTAGAAGGTTTGGTCTCATATTATCAAATGGTGAGGCTTGCAATGGGTACTACTTGGTTCTGTGAATTGCTTAGTACAATGGTGGGCTGGTATTAAATTTAAAAAACAGAATAATATCATCTGGAGGGCCATTCCTTTGGCTATGCTCTGGTCCATTTGGAAATAGAGGAATAATTGCATTTTTAAGGGGTCATAGCCATATATAGGGGAGCTGTCTGAGACTATTAAATTAAGGATTGCAAAGTGGATCAAAGTATCCTGCTGCTCTTTGGATTTTTCAATTAATGATATTATTTTCAACTTGCAAAAAGTCAAAGTTTGCATTAGGGGGGATTTGTTAGCAGGCCTAGGGTAGAGAGATCCTTGCTATCTATCCTAGTGGCGATTTTATTCTTTTGCATCTATAGAACTACTAACTGTTCCATTTACAAACAAGAACTTGGGTTAACAACCCTTTTTGAATTTGCACTATTGATTTCATGTGGTGTTCAATTGTAAATTTTTATCAAAAAATTAGTTGTCTAAGTACTATAAATGTTTTTAATATATAAAAGAAGTAGAAATATTAATTTGGTTTACAATTTTTTCTTCATAATAATAATAGTAATAGTTTCTTTTTTCTCCAGTTGCTCGTCAAACTTGCCATTCTAAAGTGCAGAATTTATTTCATGATTTATAATTGTGAATGGAGAAGTAGAACTATTTAATTCTTTTACTTTTTGATTGCATGGTTTAAGTAAAGTAAAATTTTTAAGCAGCAATTCGTAAATGATGGATAGATAGTTTGTAAGTCAATTTGTTACAACATGTATACCCCCAATCTCTTGTCTTGTGAACAAACACAATGTCTAAATTTCTTATAATTTCAAAGTTTTGACTAGTTGTTTCATTGTCAATGCTTGAGTTAAATAGGATGATGTAATCCATTTATTCATTCGTTTGAGTAGTTAAGGCCATTGGTTTTAAAATAAATTTGCACATCTATCACATGTATGTAGGATTTATTAGAATAACAAACTAATTAATTGACTTTATGATCTGTTTAAATTAATGACTTTATGCTCTGTTTAATTAATGACTTTATGCTCTGTTTAATTAATGACTTTAGCAAGTTCACAATGAATGGTTTGTATCGCCAATTTTCTTGCAAATCAAATAATTCTAGTGGTTGTTAGATACTTTTTTGCTCACAAAATTTTATGGTTTCATAACTTTCATTATTTGTGTGTTGTTCCTGTAAGCATACTATATGTTATATAGCTGCTGATTTGAGAAGATTTAAATAAAATAATCTTACAGTTAGGAAATATTTCTAGATTATTTTATGATCTTTATTTCCAAATTTGTATATCTTATAACTGTGCCTTAGGTTAGGGAGAGGCAATTGAGTGGAATGCCTATTCCTTTTGAGTTTGAGGATTGTGATAGTGATGATTTCAAGGATCTTTTGATGAATAGGACTCCTTCAAATATTATTTATTGAGCAAAAGTGCTTGCAGGCCTCTTGGAAGATCAGTATATGACAGAGACTCATTACTTGTTTTCCTGATGAGTGTGTCATTCTTTTGCATGCATTATTACCATGATTTCATTGCAGACTCGTTAGCCAACCATGCAGCAGTTTTATTGTCAGTGATTATTTTCCTCTGTTTGTTCTTGCTTTAGAAGGCTCTCTTGTCTCCTTGTGCTTTCTACATTGGGTTTGTCTGATGTAGTGTCATACAACTTCAACCTATATAAAATTTAGACAAACTCTTAAATTCAATATTAGATTTTTTTTTTAATAGCTTTATTAATGTTGATAGCAATTGATGATGGTGTGTAGCATTTGGGGCATCCTTCTGAGGATGATGATCATGATAAGATTCTACAGCTATGTAATATAATGATTAAGTAATATTTCTGAAATTTCACTTGGATACACAATTATGATTTTGTTTCTGAACTCATAAGCGAGCAATTGCATTTAAAAAGTAGTGATGTGTTTCATATTTGATTATTCTTGTAGATTTACTTTGAGTCGTTTTTTGTTGCCCCTCCCAAAATATCCTTCTCGGTTATGTGCTCTTATGATATAATATTTACTTGCATGAAATGAAACCGGCAGGTGGGTGACACGGGAAGAGGCATTTGCTGCATCTGAAACTTCTTCAAATTCAACTAAAAAAAGGCCCAAGTGGTTTATCTCTGCATCCTATTTATCTTGTTGCAGGATTTCATATTAATTGATATTTGATTAGAATTTGATTACTATGTATCATTATATCTTCCTCTTCTCATTACATCATTCTTATTCAGCTAATTGCTCGTGATGATCGGATGTGTAACTCTCTTTAAATTATCTTGATTGTCGTTCATTAAAATGTCTGTGCCCAATTTATCCTCATGCTATAGAATGCCCTTAAGAGTATTTGTTTATATGAAGCTCTAGTATTTTTGAACTTCTTGTAGCTCTCTTTAAACTATTTTTGCTTACTTTTTTACTTTGAGCTTTTGAAAGTCCAAACAAAGCTTTGTACAGCTTTGAATTCAATCAAACCAAGATTTCTTTAGTTGTTCTATGAAAAAAAAAAGCAAAAGCAAACCAAACAACTGGTTTACTTTGTCGAAAATGTCTTAAACTTAGTTGGAAAAAGGCATTCGGGGGGGCAAAAATACAAAACAGCCCCCGAACCACACCATGGATGTCATGGGCGGCTTTCTCATGAAAAATAGAACCCATAGGGATAGATGACATGTAATTAGCATGCGTAAGTTGGGAGTTAGAGTCGAAAATGCCTTAAACTTAGTTGAAAAAAGGCGTTCTGGGGGCAAAAATGCAAAATTGCCCTCGAACCACTCTATGGATGTCACAAGAAGATTCCTCATGACAAATAGGACTTGTGAGAACTGACGGAACATAATTCGGACCCGTAGGTAGAGAGTTAGAGTCGAATACATCCAAAACTTAGCCGAAAAAGGGCGTTTCGGGGGCAAAAATTCAAAACAGCCGCCGAGCCACCATGTGGCTCACACAGACAGTTCCCCCATGACAAATAGGACTTGTGACCACTGATGGAATGTAATCTGGACCCGTAGGTTGGGAGTTAGAGTCGAATACGCCCTAAACTTAGTCGCAAAAGGGCGTTTCGGGGGAGAAAATTCAAAACAGCCCCCAAACGACCGTGTAGCTCACACAGACAGTTCCCCCATGACAAATAGGACTTGTGAGATCTTACAGAACATAATTCAGACCCGTAGGTTAGGAGTTAGAGCCAAATAGGACTTGTGAGATCTGACGGAACGCGAGTTAGAGCCGAATATGTCCTAAACTTACTAGAAAAGGGGCGTTTTGGGGGCGAAAATTCAAAACAGCCCCCGAACCACCATGTGGCTCACACAGATAGTTTCTCCATGACAAATAGGACTTGTGAGAACTGATGAAACGTAATTCGGACCCGTAGGTTGGGAGTTAGATCCGAATACGCCCTAAACTTAGTCGAAAAAGGGCGTTTTGGGGGCGAAAATTCAAAATAGCCCCCGAACCACCGTGTGACACACATGGACAGTTCCCCCATGACAAATAGGACTTGTGACAACTGACGGAATGTAATCCAGACTCATAGGTTGGGAGTTAGAGCCGAATACACCCTAAACATAGTGAAAAAAGGGCGTTTCGGGGGGCGAAAATTCAAAACAGCCCCCGAACGACCGTGTGGTTCATACGGATAGCTTCACCATGACAAATAGGACTTATGAGATTTAAAGGAACGTAATTCAGACCCGTAGGTTGGGAGTTAGAGCCGAATACGCCCTAAACTTACTAGAAAAAGGGCGTTTCGGGGGCAAAAATTCAAAACAGCCCCCGAACGACCATGTGGCTCACACGGATAGCTTCTCCCTGACAAATAGGACTTGTGAGAACTGACAAAACGTAATTCGAACCTGTAGGTTGGGAGTTAGAGGCAAATACGCCCTAAACTTAGTCGAAAAAGGGCGTTTCGGGGGTGAAAATTCAAAACAGTCCCCGAACGACCGTGTGGCTCACATGGATAGCTTTGTCATGGCAAATAGAACTTGTGAGAACTGACAAAATGTAATTCAGACCCGTAGGTAGAGAGTTAGAGCCGAATACGTCCAAAACTTAGTCGAAAAAGGGTATTTCGGGGGTGAAAATTCAAAACAGCCCCCAAACCACTGTGTGGCTCACACGGATAATTTTATCATGACAAATAGGACTTTTGAGAACTGACGGAACGTAATTCGGACTTGTAGGTTGGGAGTTAGAGCCGAATACGCCCTAAACTTAGTCGAAAAAGGGCGTTTCGGGGGCAAAAATTCAAAACAGCCCCCGAACGACGATGTGGCTCACACGGACAGTTCCCCCATGACAAATAGGACTTGTGAGAACTGACGAAACGCAATTCGGACCCGTAGGTTGGGAGTTAGAGCTGAATACGCCCTAAAACAGCTCCTGAACCACCGTTTGACTCACACGGACAGTTCCCCCATGACAAATAGGACTTGTGACAACTGACGGAATGTAATCTGGACTCGTAGGTTGGGAGTTAGAGCCGAATACACCCCAAACTTAGTCGAAAAAGGGCGTTTTGGGGGCGAAAATTCAAAATAGCCCCCGAACGACCGTGTGGCTCACACGGATAGCTTCTTCCTAAAAAATAGGACTTGTGAGATCGGACGGAACGTAATTCGGACCTGTAGGTTGGGAGTTAGAGCCGAATACGCCCTAAACTTACTCGAAAAAGGGCTTTTTGGGGGTGAAAATTCATAACAGCCCCCGAATACACCTTACACTTAGTTGAAAAACTTGCAACACTTAGTTCAAAAAGCAACAACTTTATTAAAATAACATCTTCATATTCTAATAATTGTCTTTATATATTTATAGGACAAAGAAATTACATATTACATTGTTTGTGTTGGTTGGAATAAATATTGCATGATACATATATATATATATACACTTTCTTTTATTTCCAAGAAGACATTTCTTGATTGTTCTACCTTAAATGCCTGTTAGAACATGTTGCATATGACTAACTGAATTGATATTTTGTAACTAATTCTAATGTTTCGTTTTTTGTTTTTCTTTGTAGATGGCTTTGTTGCGTGGACTTGTGAATAATTCATATTGGTGTATGGAGAAGAATTTTCACTTTTGTGTAGAACTAATATAATACTTTTGTCGTCCTCAACTTTTGTGTAGTTCATTGTTACTGATACAGAAAACTTTTGGCAATGAATAGATAATGATTGTCGTGGTACATAGATCACCTTCTGTCGTGGTACATGTATATCATTTGTCGGTGTACATATAAGATGTTTTGTCATGGTCCATAGAAAACTTTTGTCGTGGTATATATATCACCTTTTGTTGTGGTACAGATTACGACGGTAATTTGTACCATGCCAAATGGTAATTTCGCTTGGTAGTAAATGTATTTTTTTGTATACGGAGGGCTTTGATTTTTGTATGATATATTTTGTATGGAATTATTATTTTAGTTTGGACAATAGTTGATTTGTATAGACTTTGATGTTTAATGCTATTTACTTTTGGTATATGGATGCAGATTGTGGAATGATTGATAGTATGTATCATTTTGTTTTTATACGTATTACAGGTTGCATTGCATATGGACAGGTTGTGGAAAAATTATAATTTCGCGATAAAACATAATATCGTGTTTTTGGCGATTAAACAATTAGTAGCTAAAAAGAAATTGGGAAAAGACATTTGGCGACTAAAAGTTTTGTAGCCAAAAAAAAAAAGAAGAAAAAAGACATTTTGCGACTAAAACTTTAGTGGCCAGAAAAAAAAAAAAAAATAGGCATTTGGCGACTAAAACTTTAGTAGCCAAAAGAAAATCAAACATTTGGCGACTAAAATATTTCGTAGTTAAAAACAAAAAACTAAATTTTAAACACACTTTTGGCAATTAAAATTTTAGTAGCAAAAAATATAGAACTTTAGGTGACCAGATATTTAGTAGCCAAAAGAGGAACTCTTTGCCGACTAAACATTTAGTACCAAAAAATGGGGACTTTCGGCGACTATTTTTTTAGTAGCCAAAAAAGAACTCTTTGCCGACTAAAATTTTAGTAGCTAAAAAGGTGGGACTTTAGGCGACTAAATGTTTGGTCGCCAAAAATGGTCTAATTTAATTTAATGTCAAGCTTTGGCGACTAAATATTTAGTCGGCAAATGAATACATTTGGTGACTAAAATAATTTTAGTCGCCAATTAGCTTTCCCGACTACTCTTCGGCTACTAATTTTGCAACCAAATAATTTAGTCGCTAAAGCCTTTCAGCGACTAAAAATTGACTTTTGGCTACTAAAAATTTAGTCACCAAAAGTGAAAATTCTTGTAGTGGGAGTAGAAGCAGATTTACAACCCAACATACCAGTACCCTTAAGTAAGTCAAGAGTGTACTTCCTTTGAGATAAGGAAATCCCCTGCTATGAGCAAACGACCTCAATCCCTAGAAAATACTTATGATTCCCCAAATCCTTAATATCAAAGGTTTGTCCCAAATCCCGTTTTACTTGATCAATGTCTATAGAGTCATCATTGGTGAGAATGATATCATCCACATACACCAACAAGACTATACACTGACTTGTAGAATTACGATGGATGAAGCAAGTATGGTTTGAATGGCATTGAACAAAGCCCATGGAGATGATGATTGAGCTAAAATGACCAAACCAAACTCATGGAAACTGCTTCAAGCCATACAAAGACTTGCGCAGTTGACATGCTTTCCCCGAATGCTCCCCCTCAGTTCAAAAATCAGGAGGAGGTTCCATATAAATCGTCTCAAGAAGATCCCTGCAGAAAGGCATTCTTGACATCAAGCTGATAAAGGGGCTAAGAATGGGATGCTGCAAGAGAGATGGGTAGACGAACAGAAGTAAGCTAGGCAACTGGTGCAAATGTAGCGCCAAAATCCTTGCCAGGAACTTGAATGAAGCCCTTGGCCACTAAGTGGGCCTTATAATGGTTAACAGAGCCATTAGGCAGGTACTTAATAGCAAAGACCCATTTGTAACTCACGGTACTCTAGCCAGAAGGTAAAGGAACCAAATCCCAAGTGTGATTCTGTTATGAAGCTGCCATTTTAGTCTGCATTGCCTCCACCCATTTTGGATTCTGAAGGGCCTCTGACACTGACCGAGGAATAGACTCGGACTTAAGCTTGTCGAGGAAAGAATGATATGTGTCGGAAACCCTATCATATGAGAGATACTAGGAAATGGGATGATTAGTACTATACAGATAACCCCAACGGTTGGGGGGATGTTGATCCTGAGGAGGATTATGACGAGGAAGAGAAGGAGATGTATGCAAAGGGAAAGAATTACCTAACCCATAATCCGAAGAGGTGGCAGGAGGGGGCTGAGCACAAGGGCGGTGAGAGTATACCTGCAAGGAAATGGGGGAAGGAGGCGAAGGTGGAGGATGAGAGGGAGGGGCAACATCATCCGCAACCTCATCCAAAATGGAGACTGGACGAACATTTTGAGTATCTGAAGGGGAAACCTGCAACGGCGGGTTAGGACTAAAAAAATGAAGATCCTCACAAAAAGTAACATCTAGAGTATGGTTAAAGTGACAAGACATGGGATCAAAACATTTATACCCTTTAGACATGGAAAAATACCCTAAAAAGACACAACGAATAGACTTGTCATCTAACTTAGTGCGAGTGGGACGCCGGTCCTGGACAAAACATGTACACCCAAAAACACGAGGCAAAAGAGGAAAAATGATAGTATTAGGCATAAGAATATGGAATGGAGTAAGGCCATGTAACACACGACTAGGAGTTTTATTAATGAGATAGACAGTAGTAAAAACAGCCATGTGCCAATAAGACTTGGGCACACTCATACCATGAAGAAGACAACGCATGACAGACATAATATGACGGTTTTTACGTTCAGTCACACCATTTTGTTCAGGGGTCTAATTAGGACATGTAAGTTGTTGAAGAATACCCATTCGATTAAGGTGTGAACGAAACTCATTAGAGATGTATTTCCCATCATTATCAGAGTGGATGTTCCTAACAATGGTACTGAATTGTGTCTTAACCATTTGCAAAAACTGAACAAAGATGGGAAACACATCAGACTTGTGGTGAAGTAAATAGACCCAAGTACACCTAGTGTGATCATTAATAAAAGTCACATAATAACAATGACCCGTAAAAGCAGAAACAAGAGAGGGACCCCAAACATCAGAATGAATAAGGTCAAAAGCACTAGGGGCACATGTCATATGTGGTATATAATTAGTACGGATATGTTTAGACAAATCACAAGTAACACAATGAAATTTAGAATCCTTGCAAACTTTATTTAATAATGGGAAAAGTTGACATAAATATTGAAAGTTAACATGACCCATACGGGCGTGCCATAACTCTAAAGTTTGAACAAAAAAAACACAAGATATAGAAGCAGGCAAAACAAATGCTTGAAAACTGGCTAAAGTTGGAGAAGGCTCGTCTGGTGGATCCCCAAAGTAGTATAGCCCATCGCGCTCATATCCTCTGTCAAAAATCCTCTTTGAACTCAGGTCCTGTAAAAGACACGAAGAAGGTAAAAAGATGAGGGCGCAATTAAAGGTTTTGGCAAGACGACTAACAGATAAGAGACTATAAGCAAACTTGGGAACATGCAACACAGAAGATAAAGTGATATCAGGAGATAAAGACCCAACACCCTTATGTTGGATAGAAGAGCAAGAATCATCAGCAAGACACACAGATTGGGCAGCAATGGTGGGTGCAAGAGAGGAAAGAAAAGAAAACTCAGTAGTCATATGATCATTAGCCCCAAAACCCAGAATCCATGAAGGATTAGCAGACCGAACAAGGAAAGCATTAGAAGTACCTGTAGCAAGGGTGACAGTAAAGGATGATGGACCAGAGAACCAGTGGTAAGAGACCCAAGTTGGGCCTGAAGCTAACCAATCTAAGTCTGTAACTGTTGTAAATTGGGGACATTAGGAGGCTCAGAAGTAGGAGTAACTTCCTCCAAAGCAACAGTGTGAGCAGAGCCAAAACCACGTATAGTAGGACCGCAAGGACGGGAAGGGCGTTGCCTTAACTCAGGATGCAGTTTGAAGCAACGTGCTTTGACATGTCTAGGCGCACCACAATGATGACAAGTAATAGAACCGATGGAACTCTGAGAACCAAAACTCGCAGCAAAAGCCATCTGATCTACTAAAACTGGAGGTACTGAAGGAACACTAGGCTAAACCAATCGTCGGCAATGCTTATCACTGTCAATAATGGCAAAAGCCTTATAAAGAGATGGCATGGGTGATGTGTTTAGAATTTGAATTCGAAGAGATTCAAATTCAAAGTTTAAACCCATGAGAAACTGATAAGTGTGCTGTCGGGCAAGCCTCTTGGACACAAGGAAGGCGGCTTCTGGTGGAAGGTCAGTCAAAGGCTCATATTGAGCAAGTTCCTCCCAACGAGCCTGAAGATATCCAATGAATTCAGCTACAAATTGGCCAAGAGAGGGCTGAGAGGCCTAGGCTATATCCTTGTAAAGCTCGAAGATACGTGCATCATTGTGAGCATGAGCATACATCTGTGACAATGCCTGCCACAAACTCGGAACTGTATCGTAATAAAGGAACATATGATAAATCTGATCTTCCATGGAATTGAACATCCATCCCAATATAGTGCCGTTATTGATATCGCACTGAGCACGTATAGGGTCAGTCCCAGCTGGCGGGGTAATAGTAGATAAAAGCCAATGGGCCTTTCCTTTTCCCCCAAGATAGAGTTTAAGGAAACGGCTGCAAGCAGCAAAATTTTTTCCATTTAACACCACACTCGTAATACGATGAATAGGAGTGTGATAGGAAAGATAAAAATCAGTACTTGGAATTGGCACAAGTTTGGTGAAGACCACAGTAGATACCTTAGTAGGAATGGTAGAAGATGAGTTATCCATGGGGAGATGATGAGGGCTGAAATAGACAGCAATACAGCAACACAGTTCGAGATCAACGGCTAAATGCTACCGAATAAACATGGTAGCCCACAAAGAAAAAAAGGAGGTCCAAAAAAGTGCTTAAAGCATCAGCACTAGACCTTGTAAAAGGGGAAAAAAGGGTTT